TTTTCTCCACGCGGGCGTATTATATCCCTTTAGGTATTGTTATAAGGCACGTTACGAGGGCAAAGCAGTAGGTACCTTCCGGTCATTTATTTACTTAAAATTAATAAAATAAATTTTAATTAACTTAACAACTTTTCTTTATCGTTACATAAATAAAACGACATTTTGACCTTAAATAATATTGACATTTGATTTTCTCTAAAAAAAACTTAAACTTATCATTATTATCATTATCATTATTATTATTATTAAAAAAAATTAATTTTCACATCCTGAATAACTTTTTTTTTTTTTTAATAAGGAAACAAAAAAAAAAAATTTCAAAACAGGTATACGTACTAAAAACTGGACATACATAAACAAACACAACACACACGTAAAAAATTTGCGAAAGGAATTCTATACCTGATTATTATTATTATTATTATTATTATTATTATTATTATTATTATTATTATTTGTTTAATTATCGATTTTTTTTTTATTAATATTATTGATTTAAAATTATACCTTTCGAAAAAATATATACATACGTGTATACTGATAACAAACAAAAACTAATTAAAAAAAAAAAAGAGGGAAGGAAATTTATTTTTAATAATAATTATTACGTAAGACAATTTTTTTCCTTCTTTACCTTTTTTTTTTTTAGAAATCAGTTTTGCCAACTTGATAAATTTAATAAAAAAAAAAAAAATTTTTTTTAAAATTATTACTACGCGATATGAATTTTAAAAAAAAAAATTATATTATTATTATTTTTATTCATAAAAAAATCCGTTTCGAAATGAATTTTTGATTTTTTTAAAACGAATTCAGTGTTACCAACTTGATAAAAAAAAATTTTTTTTTATTAATTGTATATTATAATTAATTCGAAAGAGTAAAATAGATCTTGTGTACATATATGCGTATTTATATTTTTTTTTTTGAGGGGGAAAGGGGAATGAAATTGGAAATCAGTGATACCAACTTGATAAAATTTCAATTTGAAAATATAAATTTCTCTCGAATATAAAAAAAATTAGTTAGAAATTTTTTAAATAAAGAATTATTATTATTATTGTTTTTTTATTTGCACTTATTTTGATTAATTTATTTTTTTTCTGTCGGAATCAGCGTTGTCAACTTGATAACATTTCAAATTGAAAATATAAATTTCTGTCGAATTTCAAAAATTGCTTAAGTAACGAATTTTTTTTTTCTTATTCGCACACATTTCGATTTATTTATTTCATTTTTTTTCTGTCGGAATCAGTGTTGCCAACTTGACGAATTAAAAATTGAAAGGGAAAAAAGAAAACTTATGGAAATCTCAAATTAAAGTTTTTTTTTTTACGTTTTCATATAAAAATTTTTACTTAAATTATTGCAGAAAACGATTTTTTTTTGGAATCAGTGTTGCCAATTGTTGCCAATGTTTGCCAACAAAATAAAATTTTCTTTTTTTACTAAGGGGTTGTTTAAATTCGTTTTTTAATTTTTTTTTTCTCCGGCTTCAGTTTTGAAAATTTTGTCCGCCGAACGAATTTTTCTTTTAATTTTTTTAAAATACAATTTTAGTTACGGTCCTGATTGTTACGATGATGATAATAATAATAATAAAAAAAAGGTTAAATCAAAATATTATTATTTTGAAGTTCTCTCGATCAACAAAGCGGGTCAAACAAACAACAAACCAAAAATGGATATTTTAATTTGGTTTTAGAAAAAAAAAAAACAAAAATAAACATCAAAGGGATAAGAGAAAGAGAGAGAGAGAAGAAAAGAAAACGTGTATGAGACTCATCATTATCATAATCGTACCTGCCTGAATCCTTCATGTGAATACCTGATGCGGTTTTTCGTTCATTAAAACAAAAAAGATGTCGAGAATGACAATAAATGCAAAACAAGAAGAGGACATTTTTTTTTTGTTTTTGTTTCTTTTCTATTCCCACGCGCGTTTTTTTTAAACAAAAAAAAAAAAGATGATAAAGTGAATGAAAGAGAAAAATGAAAAATGGTTGTTTCACATATCAAATATTAATATTTATATAATGAGATAATAACCAAACGTGGAAGGAGACACACACACAAATACTTTCCGCCATTATTTTAACTTTAAAGTAATTTTAATTTTTTTTCGTTCATTGTTTGTGTTTTGGTTTGTTCATTGTTGAGAGGAAAAGGGTGGAGAGAAAAATCGAAAAAAAAAAAAAACCTTTTTTTTTTTACATTGTTTGAATTATAAATGAGAAAAGAAGACAAAGAGAGAGAGAGAGAGAGAGAGAGGAGGGGGAAATAAATAGAGAAATTAGAGCGAGAGGAAGAGATAGAGAAACAAAAGGAGGGAAACAAAAAGTAGTGAGAAAAGAGAGGGAAACGGAAAAAGAAAAAAAAATGAAACAAGAGAGAGAGAGAGAAAGAAGAGTGAAAAAGAGGAAAATTAGAACGAGAGAAAGACAGAGTAATGGAAAAAGAAAAAAAAAGGAAATAGAAAGAGAGAGAGGTTAAGAGTGAATGATGAAGAAAGAAAAAGAGAAAGAGAGAGAGAGTGTAAGATGGAAAAAGAGAGAAAAATTAGAACGAGATAAAGAGAGAGAAACAAGTGTAAAAAAGAAAGGTAGAGAGAAAGAGAGAAATACAGGGAAGGAAAGAAGAGAAAGAAATAAAGAGAGAGAGAGGGGGAGAGAGAAATGCAGGGAACAACAAAGAACGAGAAAAAGAGAGAAGAAGCAAAATAAAAGAAACGAGAAGAAAGATAGGGAACAAAGAGAAATATAGAGAAAAAACAAAGAGTGAAGAAAGATAGAAAGAATGAGAGACAAGCAAAGAGAGAAACCACAACAAAAGAAAGAGAGAGAGAGATCCATTTAAAATCCTCTTTTCGAATTTTTTTTTCAATTTTAAGTAAAATAAAAATTATCCCCCCAAAAAAAAGACATTAAAAAAAATTACTTTTCTCTCTCTCTCTCTCTAATGCCACGTCATAATTTCTAATCGATTTTTATTGTTTTTTTGATTTTTTCCGACAATAATTTTAAGGGGATGAAATGAAAATTTTTTAAATAATTTTTTAAAATTATTTTCCTTTTAAAAAAAAACAAAATGGCGGTCACACGGTGGCGGTTATTTTTTTTTTATTTTTGGCAGGCGTTTTAATTTCAAGTTTTTTATTAAAAAAAAAAAAAAATTAATTAACGTGCAAAACATTTAATTAAAATCACGGATAGAGAGAGAGAGAGAGAAAGAGAGAGAGAGAGAGAGAGAAACCAGATTCGATTTGATTGTGGTGTGATTAAAAAAAAAAAATTTTCATTTTATTTAAAAGATTCTAAAAAAAAAAAAAAAAAACGCCTTCGAGTATTTCCAACGTTTTCCTTGAGGCCTTATCATTTCGTAACTTTTTATCACTACCCAGTATGTTGATAATAATAATGATAATAATAATAATAATAATGATAATGATAAGATTTGTAAAACTTTGTTTAAAAAAAAAAAAAAACAAACTCGACCGTGTGAAAGTTTTAAAAAAAAAATTTTCCAATATGAGTCAATAAAAATTTTTTTTAATTTTCCCCGCCCCCCACCTCGATAATAATAATGATGATGATAATGATGATGATGAAAATCTGGAGAAAAAGAAATTATAAATAAAAAAAATTGATAACGCGACAAACAAATAAACAAACAAACAAACGCGGAATCAAATCGATCGATTAACTTTTTTTGAATTTTTTAAATTTGAATTTTCCCGCCTTTTTTTCCTCCTCTTCCCCATTTCCGTTAGGATAACAAATTTAATCTTATAACGGAAGGGGATGGAATGGGGGATGTCGTGTGAAAGTGTAGGAGATAAGGGCGAGGAGCTGTGGAATGCTGGAGGGGAAATAAAAAAAAAATTTCGTTTACTACCGATTACTATTATTATTATTATTATTTTAAAAAAAATTAAAGAGAGAGAGAGTGAGTGCATGAGAGAGAGAGAGAGATAGAAAAAATTTGTTATATCGATAATGATGTTGAATTTCCGGTTATTTTGTTTTTATTTTTTTCATTTTTTTTTTACAAATTTTAAAATATTTTATGTACATTATTAACCTTTTATTTCTAATTAACAAAACTCGCAAAAAAAAAATTTAAAATTTATGAGAATTTTTTCACATTCTTCCCTTCCCTCCCCTCCCCTTCATCCTCCCTCTTCCCCTCCTCGTATTTCCTTACTACGGTCCTGAATAAGAACAGAAAAAAAATCGTTTTGCTTTACTTTACATTTTTTTTGACCTTCCCGCCTTTTTCGTGACGACGAAAACGTTTTTTTCGGCATAATAATAATAATAATAATAATAATTTGTATTACGATTACGTTTCCGTCGTGGTTAAAGAATTTTATCATGACGTGAATAAATATCACTCAGAGAGAGAGAGAGAGAGAGAGAAAGAAATGATCGAGTTCCGACTCTCTTAAAAAATTTTTTTTTTGTTTTTTCCTGCTGCGGGATGAAAGTGGGAGGAGAGAAAATGGAAAAAGGGGGAGGAGCTTCGGACGCCATTTTTAAAAAACGACGACAGCGACAACTATCGATGACGATGATAACAACAACAGCAGGAGAAATTAAAAAATAAAAAAAATATAAAAATGAATCGATGTGTGTGTTTGTTGTATATTATTATTATTATCATTAATATCATCGTTATTATTATTATTATGATTATTATTATTATTATTATTATTATTATTATTTAAGCCGCACATTCTTACGGTTGCGGCGGTACCCGAACTTGTTCTCACTTACACCTCCCTATACACACACACACACACAGAAGAACAACAACAACAACAACGACGACGAGGACGAGGATTGATACCTTGAGGCTTTGGCTACTTACGGCACTCCCTACCATCAACAGCTTCCGTCCCAAGATTAAAAGATACCTTTTATAATAATAATAATAATGATGATGATGATGATGGGAATGAGTTTTTTGTTGTTGTTTTCGGCTGTTGGGATGTGGCGATGGTGGGAACGTCGGCGGCGGCGGTATTATCCTCTCTCTTTCTCTCTCTTTCTCTGCTACCTTTTCCGATCGGATTATCTGATTACGGTTTAATCTCTACCCTTTCGTTTTGGGTCGGTACTCATCATCGACACCGACACCGCCGCCACCACCTCTCTCTCTCTCTCTCTCTCTCTCTCTTACTCGGGGCCATTTTCAATTACGTGAAAACATTTTTTTTTTTTTCTACATTCATCTCATTTGTATCCGTCGGATCCTTCGTCCGTTCGTCCGTCATTTTCTTTTGTTTATTTAAAACGTGAAAATTTATAATTTTTTTGGGGTTCTGCTGACACGTTAAAACGAAAATCAATTTTTAAAAAAATTATCTATGAGAAAAAATTATTTTAAAAAAAATTAAAATGGCGGCGTTAAATTTTTGCACACGTTAGAAAATTTCAAGTTAAAAAAAAACGTGTCATTAACTAAAGTCCGCCATTTTTAAAATTGTTTTTTTTTGTTGTAACAATAGCTACAGGATTTATTTTTAATAAATTGATTTTTTTTTTTCCGTTGTAGGTTACGGCCAACGATTCGGATTGCGGTGTCAATGCAAAAGTTAATTACACTTTAGGAGAAGAATCTGGAAAGTTAAAAGAATTTTTTATTAAATCCGATACTGGAGAAATTTGCATTGCTAATGAATTGGATTACGAAAAGATTAAATCTTATGAATTTCCAGTAATCGCATCCGATAGAGGTGAGTTTATTATTATTATTATCAACGTGGCGTTATTTTTTTTTTCTATTTTGTCTATTTCTACGACGAATTAATAAAATTTTCGAAATCGAGTAGAGGGAAAAAATTAACTAATGTAAAGTTTCGATCGTTTTTATATCGGAAATTATATTTTTATTATATTCTGACGATTTTTTTCGATTTTATCTACTTCCACGACTTTGTAAAATTCGTAATAAATAAAGGGAGAATTCGAGGAGAAAAATGTGTAAGAAATTATTTCTCCAGTTTTTTTATTTTTTTTTTTTAAATTTAATTTGGTCAAAATGTAATGGTTGGAGTCCAATTTTTTTAAGTTTGTCTACTTCCACGACGTAGTAGACAGCATTCGTAATAAAGGGAAGAGTCGAGAAGGAAAATATATAAAAAATTATTTCTCCTAAATTAGTTTTTTTTTTGTTTTTGAATTTAACTTGATCGGAAATTATTTTTAAAATTTGATTTTTTTGTTCTCTCAATTTTATCTACTTCCACGACGTGGAATCTTTAAAAAGGCGATGAGGAGTCGTGTAGGGAAGAAAAATTTTATAGAAATTTAATTTTATCGGATGTAATAGGTACGGCTTAATTTTTTTCGATTTTATCTACTTCCACGACGTGGAATCTTCTTTAAAAAGACGATGAGAAGTCGTGGAGGGAAAGAAATTTTTAAAGAAATTTAATTTGATTCGATGTAATAGTTAGAGTCCAATTTTTTTTTTCAAGTTTGTCTACTTCCACGACGTGGAAACTTCTTTAAGAAAAGAAACAACGAGGAATCGTAAAAGAAAAGAAAATTTTAAAAACTTTTTACGCGCGTAATTTTTTTTTTTTTTTTGGTAAATTCCATATTCGAATCCGATGAGAAGAAAGCAAAGTTCAGGAGAAAAAAATGAGGGTAAAAGGTCAATAGGTCAAACAAAAAAAAAAAAAAACTCGAAGAGAAAAATTTTTTTTTTTTTTTCTAATTGCAAATCGAATAAAATCAATTTCCGATCTTCGGTCAATCCAATCAATCGATCAATCAATCAATCAATCAAACCGAGCAAGCGATTAATAAATCAAAAAAAAATAATTTTTTATTTTTAATAAACTTTCTAATTTTTTTTTTTTTTAAATTTCCCGCCTTTTTTTTTTATTACGTCACACTTTCGTATTAATAAAAAAAAGAAATATTTTTGGCAAATTCAAGTCACGACTTTTCAAGTCCGTAAACGTTCGTATAAATGTTACATTTATTAAAAAAAAAATGTGGTTGTTGTTGTTGTTTGTAGTCATCAAAAACAAACGAGATTATTTTTAATAATAATAATAATAATAATAATAATATCAAAAATTTAAAAATAAATAAAAAAAATTTTTTTTAGAAAGTTTTTTTTTTTTTTTTAAAGAGAAAAAAAAATTTTGTTTTATTTACTCTATGAGATTTTAATTTAATATTTAATCTATGCAACTTACTCGTTTCGATAATAATAATAATAATAATAATAATAATAATCCGATTGGAAAAATTAATTTTTTATTTATTATCTTTAAACGTTGTGTAAAAATCGTTGTTCGAACGTTTAAGGTACGAACGAGTTTTCTGGGGGGCCTTAATAGATTTTAAAATGTTTGAATTCGGTCTCCCCTTTCCCCCTTCCCCCCCGATTTGTAAATTAATGTAAAATTTTGTTTGTTTGTTTGTTTTGTCCAGGTGGTTTGAGCACGACGGCAATAGTTAAAGTAACCGTTACGGATGTCAACGATCATCGTCCGATTTTTTATCCGAAAGAATATAACGTGTCATTAAGTTCGAATCGGAAACCGACGATGATGACGTCAACGTCGACGACGACGCCGATCGTCGCAGTCGTCGCAACGGATGAAGATTCTGGAAAATTCGGTGACGTACGTTATCGTATAGTTTACGGTAACGACGATAACGTTTTCCGTATCGATGAAAAAACCGGTGAAATATTTTTAAATAATCGTGGCAGTATACTTTTACTACGTGAACGTAATAAATTGAACGTGTCAGCAACGGATGGTGACGGTTTAAGGTCATTGCAAGATGCACAAGTTTACATAACGGTTTCGGATTCGAATCGCGGTCCACCCGTATTTGATAAATCAAAATATAATTTTAAAATTCTAGAAGATTCTAAAAGGAATTCGATTGTCGGAAGAGTTAAAGCTTATCAACTTTCCGGTGAGTACATATTTTTTTTATCAAATCAATCGATAACCGATCGATAAATAAAGTAGGGTAATAAAACAACATTTTTTGTCTGTTTTTTATTACACGACAAAAGGTCAAACAAACGTTTTTCACTTTCACATTTTTCCATAATCACTTTTTTTATAACTCCTGGATTTATTTTCTCCAGATGTTTAACGTTTGAGAATATTTTAAACCTCTTCTATCTCCCTCTCTCTCCCTCTCTCTGTCTCTTTCACCTTCTTTTTGTTTTTTTAATTTATGGACGGTTCTGTATTTAATAAATTATGTACGTAAGTTATTAAAGAATGCAAACGTTGATCGTAAAAAACCGGAAAGGGAGGTACAAAAAAAAAGAAAAATAAAATAAATGAGAAAGAATCTGTGGGGGGGGAATAAAGCGAATAAAAACGTTAAATAAAATAAATAGAAATAATAGAAGAGAAAAAGAAATAAAGAGGGAAAGAAAGAAAGAAAGAAAAATGGATAAGAGATAGAAAGAGAATAAATGATAAAGAAAAACAGAATGGAAATAATTAAAATCAGGGAAAATGACTAAAAGAAAAGAGAGAAAAAGAGAGAGGATGAGAATTAATCAAAAAAAGGAAAACATAGAAAAAAGAGATTGGGAGGAAGAAAACAAAATGAAAAAAAAAAGAAAAGAAAGAACTAAATGAAAAAAAAGTATAAAGAGAACAAAATAAAAGAAAGAAAGAGAGAGACACAGAACAAAATGAAGAAAAGAAAAAGAAAGAGAGAAAGAAAAAAATAAAGGAAAGCAGGAGACAGAGAGAGAGAGAGAAAGTAAACAAGGGAAAAGAAAAGCGGTAGGGAGAATAAAATGATAGAACAAAAGAAAGAAAGAGAAAGAGAGAAAACAATTAAAATGAGAGAAAACAAAATAAAAAGAAAGAAAAAACGAAAAGGTAAAGAAAGAGAGAGAAACAAATTGAAAAAAAAAGAAGAGAGGGAGACAGAGGATGAGATTTAAAGAAGAAAGAGGAAAAAAAGAGTTAGAGAAAGAGGGAGAGAATGGAAGACAGTAAAAGCAAAAAAATCAAAATCAAAAAAACCCAAAGAGGAAGAGAGAGAAAGAGTAAGAAAGAATGAGAGAAAGAAAGAAACAGAAAGAAAGAGAGAGAGAGAGAGAGAGAGAGAGAGAGAGCAGTAAAAGGGAAATCAAATATAGCGTGACAACGGAAAATTTTTCACTTTTTTTTTTACCTTTAAGGTGTCATATTTATTAATATTATTATTATTTTTTTTATTAAATGAAAGTTTATCAATTTAACCTTTGACCCTAATCAAATTAACTGACCAAGATAACAAGAAAATAAATTTTATTTAAAAAAAGAAATTTCTTTTTAATACGGATAATTTAATTTCGGGGTGATTGAAATCAATAATTTTATACATATATTCATTTTTCATTATTATTATTATCATCATCATCGTACCTTTCACGCACGCACTCACTCACACACTCACGCACCCGGCGTACACGCACTTTAAAAAAATTTTTTTCTTTTTTTTTAACCTCGATTAATTTTCTCAACATGTGGTAACAAACTTATTATGTCGGCTGCAATTTTTCATGTAAAAAAACCGAAAAAAAAAATGAATGAAAAATTTAAACGAGTTTGTCGTTGGATGTCCTCATCCGAATATAATTTTAATAAAAAATTAAAACAAACAAACAAACGAAACAACAATTGAAATCGTATTTTTTTTTT